CTAATAGCTTCTTGTTACTACTAGTAAGGCACTTGTTACTAGAAGCGTTGCACTTGTTACTAATAGCTTCTTGTTACTACTAGTAAGGCACTTGGTACTAGAAGCGATGCACTGGTTACTAATAGCTTCTTGTTACTACTAGTAAAGCACTTGTTCCCAGAAGCGATGCACTTGTTACTAATAGCTTCTTGTTACTACTAGTAAGGCACTTGTTACTAGAAGCGATGCACTTGTTACTAATAGCTTCTTGTTTCAAATAACTTCTTGTTACTACTAGTAAGGCACTTGTTACTAGAAGCGATGCACTTGTTACTAGTAGCTTCTTGTTTCTAATAATTTCTTGTTACTACTAGTAAGGCACTTGTTACTAGAAGCGGTGCACTTGTGAATAATAGCTTCATGTTTCTAATAACTTCTTGCTACTACTAGTAAGACACTGGTTACTAGAAGCGATGCACTTGTTACTAATAGCTTCTTGTTACTACTAGTCAGGCACTTGTTACTAGAAGCGATGCACTTGTTACTAATAGCTTCTTGTTACTACTAGTAAGGCACTTGTTACTAGAAGCGATGCACTTGTTGCTAATAGCTTCTTGTTACTACTAGTAAGGCACTTGTTACTAATAGCTTCTTGTTACTACTAGCAAGGCACTTGTTACTAGAAACGATGCACTTGTTACTAATAGCTTCTTGTTTCCAATAACTTCTTGTTACTACTAGTAAGGCACTTGTTACTAGAAGCGATGCACTTGTTACTAATAGCTTCTTGTTTCTGATGACTCCTTGTTACTACTAGTAAGGCACTTGTTACTAGAAGCGATGCACTTGTTACTAATAGCTTCTTGTTTCTAATAACTTCTTGTGACTACTTAGTAAGGCACTTGTTACTAGAAGCGATGCACTTGATACCCATAGCTTCTTGTTTCTAATAACTTCTTGTTACTACTAAAAAGACACTTGTTACTAGAAGCGATGCACTTGTTACTAATAGCTTCTTGTTTCCAATAACTTCTTGTTACTACTAGTACGGCACTTGTTACTAGAAGCGATGCACTTGTTACTAATAGCTTCTTGTTGATAATAACTTCTTGTTACTACTAGTAAGGCACTTGTTGCTAGAAGCGA